GAGGGAGGGAGGGAGGGAGGAGGAAGGGGAAGAGGAGGAGGATCTGGGCCCCAGAGGCCAGCGGGTCGCCACAGCATGGGGCCTGCCGTGCCGGAGGCCCCCCTCGCTCGGCACCCCGCGGCGCCGGGGTGAGCCGCGGGCGACCGCCGCCACGAAATCCCGCCCGCCGGAGCGGCACAGCGCCAGCGCGCGGATCAGCTTGTGCCGCGGGCAAACCTTGTGTCCATGTTTCGGAGGGGGAGGACGTACCAATGCTGCTACTCCAGATTTCGTAAGAAAGGGAGGGGGGTCTCATTTCGGGGGGGGGGGTCTCTTCCAGGCTATCTTGGAGGGCCTGGGGGGGTCTGGGGACGATGTTTTGGAGGGTTCTCCCACGGGGGGGGTCTGAAGTGGCTTGTCTTGGAGGGTCCAGACCCCCTCCCTGTTATTACAAAATCTGGAGTACCCTGTTCTTCTCGTGTGCTTCCTCTTGGGCCTCGACGGGGGCACTCCTCGCCACCGCTGGACTCGCTGTGAGGTTCTGGTCCGAGCGCACCCCGGGAGGGGTGCGGGGAGTGGCGGTATCCGCTGCCTGTTGGCTTCCCCAGAATCCAGTTCGTCTTGAACTTTCTGGGAACGGGCGCGAAAGAGCCGACGCGCAGTGGATATGGGTGAGAGTGTGGTCCCCAGGTGCCAGATTTTTTTCGATCTCCACTGCGACGTTGAGTTCTGGGGAAGAGAACCCGAAACTTCAAGATGCACTGCATGTGGATACAAATCTTGCCCGCAGGTGCTGGTGTTTTTTGTATGTTTTGCCGGGGGCGCTCCAAGAGGGCCCGCCCGGTGCATCTCTGTCGGCGCGCAGGAGGGGTGGCAGGCCGGGCGGGGTTAGGACGAGGATCAATATTTCCAGAGCGTTCCGGAACTCCGAAAGGCCGCGGCGGCCGGTACAGCCTCCGGGGCCCCCCCGCTCTCTCACAGATCACCGAGTTGTCCCGACCCTGGCTTCGTCTCAGCACAGGGCTTCCCCCACCTCGAGGGTGCGTTTTGGCCTTCCGGGTCAATTCGCACTTTATGCCTCCCCTCCCTCCCTCCCTCCCTCCTCTCCCGCCCTCCCTCCTTCCCTCCCCCCCGCAAGAACCTGGCGCTCCGCCCCGCCCACTGGCGTCCCCTGCCGCAGTGCGCCGGGTACCAGTCTGGTGCCGGACCCACACGGCGGGGGGGGGCCGTTACACTACGGTAGGTTTGCGTCGTGTCGACCAGCGGCGACCCCAGCGCGGGCGTTCAAGGTTGAACGCCGGCGGCGGCCCAGAATCGGTCGATGTTGAACGATTGGACGTTGCGGAAATGGCCGATCGTTCAAGGTTGAACGATCCCTGCGGTGTCAAAAACCAACGCCCTGGTCGACACGACACGAACCTGCCGTACGCCCTCCCCCGCCCCCGCCGCGTGAGTTTTCTCCTGAGCTCAGGGCGTCAATTCAGAACAAGAGGGAGGCCGCTCGGGAGAAGGGGTGGGCGCGACAGCGCGCTGCCCTCGGACTCGACCCAAGGCCAGGCTCCCTCTTTGATAGGGCCCCCGGCAGAGGGTGGGACCCGTTCGCCCATCAATCTTCTACGTGACCCTCTTGGGGTCCCAAAGTACCAGCAGCGAGTCGACTCTTTACCGATACCGATACCGATACCCTCCTCCTCCCCCATAGCGCCCGTTGTATTGCCGTGAATGAAACAGGTATGTTCCTTCGTCTCAGCCAGGCCTCCCCCGCCCCCCACTTCTCGGTGGCTCAGGGATGGGGCCCTGAAGGATGGGGCCCTCGGGGCGAGGCACCCCGGACAGTGTGCATCCACCCCTGGGCCCCCCCCCCTACAGTCAGCCCGCGTAGTAGGGATGGGTAACCTTCCCAAGGGTGCCCTTTGCATCCTTGCTCCTTCGGTCCATCCTTGGCCACTTTCGTTGGCCGCGCCCCGCTCGAAAAGCTTCGAAGTGGGAAGCCGAGGCCCTTGCATCCTCGCCGCGCATCCCTACTTTACGGGTTGGCTGCATCCTGAGGGCGCAATTGCTTCAGGACCCCCGTGCTCGAACCACCACAGCTCCCCGCGCGGCGAGGAGGCCGCGGGAGCCCAGACCCCCGACGTCCTGATTTTTTCATGACGCGACCCCCAGAGGTTCGGACCCATTCCCCGGGACCGGTGTTTCGTTCGGAGTCGTTTTTGGACGGTCCCGAGGCCCGGCAAGGGTCTGAAAAGGCCGACGATGGCGAAAAACCTCCCGTCGTGCTCTTTTCACTGCCCGAGGGGGGCCTGGGAGGAGGGCTCCCCATGCAGTCGTCCTGGCGCCCCCCCCCCGGAGGGAAACGGGGGGGGGGGGCCGGCGGGCCCCGTGCCGCGCGGCGGCCGCGACGGCGCTGGGGGCCGCCCTCTGGCCAGGGCCACGCCCGCGGGCACCTGCGCGCACGCCGGAGCTCGGCGGCGAGCGCGCGGGGGGGGCAGCCGGCAAGCGGGGTGCGCTCGCGCCTCGTCTGGCGTTCCCCTCCCTTTCGGGCCGAGCAAGAAGGGGGGGGGATAGGGAAAGGGGGGGGCACGACATCTGCTGCATGCGGCTGGTTCCGGCCCCGCCGCCGGGCCCATTCCTCGACACGTGGGCGCCTCCCGGCGCGGGGGGGCGTTGGGAAAATCAGCTACGTGAGCTGATTCTCTATTCTGCCCTTTGCTATCCCCGCCTTTCGTTCCCTTCCCTCTCCCTCCCTCCCTCCGATCCCTTCCCATGGCCTTGATGTGTTTGTATCCGGGGGGGGCCAGGCAGAGCCTTGGCCTTTTCAGAGGGCGGCCAGGCTTCCCAGGAGCCCCGCGGCCTCCTGACCGGTTTTTTTGCGTCCTCGGGGGAGGCTTAAAGCACTTTTCAGGAGGCCGGGGGGCTTCCGAGCCTTTGAAAAGGGCCGCCCCTTCTCACTTCCCCCCCGGGCTCGCCGCCGAAAATCAGAGATTGGGCTGCCATCGCTCATGAACTCTCAAAGCTCCGCGCGGAGCTCCCACTGTGTATGCTTATGCTGTGTTTCCTCTGCGCTTGCCGCGCAGTGTCTTGTCCCCCCAAGGGCCCGCGGAACCCTGGGGTAGCCCGCGGAACTCAGAGTCGACGAGTGGAAAACGCCCAGTGTAGAAGGGTTGACGCCCAGACCTCAGCGTACGCTGGTCCTGGCCAGTTCCATGCTGGGCCCAGGATCGGTGTATACGTCTTCCTGGCTTGGTGGGGGAGGCATATGCTCATATGTTGTTGAAAGTGGGTATTTTGGGGCTCCCAGATCCCAATCAATTTGAGAGGCGGCGCCTTCTAACTTGAAGAGTCGAACGATTGTCCCTCTTCCCTCCTCTTCAGGGTGCCGGCGGATGTTTGTGGTTATTCTGAATGTATAATTCCCCATATCCTAAGATGAGATTATTGTTACTACTTGGACGCCTCCTACTCCTCCTCCTCCTCCTTCCTCTTCTCCTTCTCCTCCCCTCTCCTCCTCATACCCAGACTTACTCATACACAGACTGACTCACACTCAGATTTACTCATACCCAGATGTGCTCCCACCCAAAATTTACTCTTGCTCAGACCTATTCATACTCAGACCTACTCCTACTCAGACGTACTCATGGTGAGACTCACGCGCGCCCCGTTCGCGGCCGTTTTGCGGGGAGGATGTCTCAGGCGGGGCGCTGGCTTCAGCCCCCCTACGGGGAGCCGCCAGGGGTGTTTTCACGGTCCCGTTCGCGGCCGTTTTGTGGGGATGTCTCAAGATGTCTCAAGCGGTTTGCCTGTTTTTTGTCCGAGCATCCTTCGCTTTCGGAGCAGATTTGGAGGATGTCTCGAGCGAGGCGCTCATTTTCAGCATCCCTCAGGGGAGCCGCCAGGGGTGTTTTCACGGTCCCGTTCGCGGCTGTTTTGTGGGGATGTCTCAAGCGGTTTGCTCGTTTTCTGTCCCAACATCCTTCGCTTTCGGAGGAGATTTGGAGGATGTCTCGAGCGAGGCGCTCATTTTCACGTCCCTAAGGGGAGCCGCCAGGGGTGTTTTCACGATCCCGTTCGCGGCCGTTTTGTGGGGATGTCTCAAGCGGTTTGCTTGTGTTCTGTCCCAACATCCTTCGCTTTCGGAGCAGATCTGGAGGATGTCTCGAGCGAGGCGCTCATTTTCAGCATCTCTCAGGGGAGCCGCCAGGGGTGTTTTCACGGTCCCGTTCGCGGCTGTTTTGTGGGGATGCCTCAAGCGGTTTGCGTGTTTTTTGTCCAACATCCTTTGCTTTCGGAGCAGATTTGGAGGATGTCTCGAGCGAGGCGCTCATTTTCACCCCCCAGGTGGGCGAGATTTTGAGGATGTCTCGATTCTCCTCAGGATGCCACAGGAGGCTCCAACAGGCTCCAGGAGGCCCCTGAGATCACATGAGGTCCCAGAAGGCATCAGGAGGCCACAGAAAGACTTCTTCAAAAAAAAAAAAAAAAAAAAAAAAAAAAAAATAAAAAAAAAAGAAAAAAAAATCTTTCTCACAAAAAAAAAAAAAAACAAAAAAAAAAAAAAAAAAAACAAAAAAAGATGGCTCAGATGTCCCAGAGGCCCTCCCTCTGGCCCTAAGTCCGGGAGGGCCTCAGGTCCTCAGGAAGCCCAGGAGCCCAGGAGGGCCAGCGGATAGCTGCAGAGCCTCGGCATGCACAGGAGTCCCCGACAGCCCCCCAGGAGCAAAGTCCCAACACCACAAATGGCTAGACGCGCGATTTCCCCGAATCCACTTGACATTCTTTGTTGTTCGTAGTGTTGTTGTTGTTGTTGTTGTTGTTGTTGTTGTTGCTGTTGTTGTTGTTGTTGTTGTAGTTGAACATTATTAATTCTAAAGAATAATTATTGTTGGGACCCCTGGTGCACGGCCCCCCCGCCGCGCCTAGGCCGCAGCTACATTTTCATCATTTTTTCGCGAAAGCTTCAGAAAAGTGGATGGGGTCCAGATCTGGTTGTTTTGTTGTAATTCCGTTTCCCTTGCAAAAAACAATTGAAAAATGACATTTCTTGTTCTAACATAACCAAACTTCACGAATCCCTTGCAAAAATAAGGTAAAGTGGACATTCGTGTGCGCAAGACGAAATCCTTCCAAAACCTTAGTGTTCGTAGCGATTTTAACATAAAAACATCAAAAAAACAATGTTTTTTTTTGTAAAAAAGTGTCAAAATTTCATCCCGCGCGCTCTTGCGGATTTGTAGGAAACCCATCACTTTTTAATCATTTCTGTCAAACGGGCTTTTGCGAGCAACTTTTTCGAACTTCTGCAACAACGGTTGCGCACCTGCCAGGGCCATCATCCCTGTCAAATAATACCATGCGGGACACATTCAGTTTTTCTTCGCGCGCGCACGCCCGAAATCTTCAGGAAACACGTTACCACCTAAATAACAGTACAGGTGTCAGTGTGGAACAGGGGAAAAGTGTATCTAAGCTAGCGTCCAGAAAATGTACCACAACACAGTCATTGTACCAGCGCCAGAGTAGTAGCCACGGTCGTCCGCACGCCACGAAGTGAAGTGTCCCAACGTCATAGGGCGGGAAGCTGGGTTTGGGTGGTCGCGAAGAGTCGTTTGGATATTTGGTAGAGCTTGAACTGCCCCCCCACGAAGTGGGGGTATTGTCTCGCGTCGCATGAAAACCCTGGCACTGGTGAGAACACTGAGCGTTCGGGTAAAATGATTGTTGTTGTTGTTGTTGTTGTTGTTGTAATTGTTGTTGCTGTTGCTGCTACTGCTGCTGCTGCTGCTGCTGCTGCTGTTGCTGTTGTTGTTGTTGTTGTTGTTGTTGTTGTTGGTGAACACTATTACTTCTATAT